AGCTGCAATATCAAACAAACCACAGTGAGTACGAAATACCACAGACAAACCACAGTGAGTATGAAATACCACAGACAAACCACAGTGAGTACGAAATACCACAGACAAACCACAGTGAGTATGAAATACCACAGACAAACCACAGTGAGTACGAAATACCACAGGCAAACCACAGTAAGTACGAAATACCACAGACAAACCACAGTGAGTACGAAATACCACCTGTAGACAAACCACAGTGAGTATGAAATACCACAGACAAACCACAGTGAGTACGAAATACCACAGACGAACCACTGTGAGTACGAAATACCACAGACGAACCACAGTGAGTACGAAATACCACCGACAAACAACACGTACAAGGCAGGGCCGTAGTATGAGCAAATTCCTGGGGGGGGGGGGCAAAATTTCATGACTCAACTGTGTAATGATAATACATTTATTTTAGGGTTATTTACGATTATTAGCTAAGCTTATTGTTTAATTTTGCTCCACAATCTAGGTGGGGCAGCTGCCAACCTTGCCCCCCCAGAGGCTACGGCCCTGCAGGGCATTAGCAGCCTACACCATTCCCTGGCAATGCGCTATAGAGACATTGCGCAGTGGAACAAGCTCAAGGAACTGACCGTAGTCTGCAAGGCCACAATGATGGCTTTGTTTAAGCACCTGAGTAAGCTTTTTATAATGCCACCAGTGGCTTTAAAGGGTAGGCAAACCCCCCAAAAAATACGTCTGATAAACCTAGTAATGTGTAGCTATGTTATTTTTTAAATATATGCATTAGTAAAAATTTTCATGAAACGCACTAAACGTATTTTCAACACGATTTTGTAAAGGAACTATGTGAACAACGAGTCTCGTGTGACGTCACACGGATGTGTCAGCGGCTTCAGCATTTGATGGGCATTACAAGTGAAAGTCTTGCTCTGCACAGGGAAACAGCTGGTAGAAGGAAGCTTGCCGGTCATGATAATCTCAGAATGAAAAAACGATCTGCTCAGCGTGATACATCTCTCGGCTTTTCAGAGCATGTTATTAACATCTCTCCATGCACGTCTACCCTGCTGTGATGGAGATCTTCTCGGTGTACGCAGTGCAATCACCGTACTAGTTCACCGACATTCAAATCTAAATGTACAGAAGCGTGTATTGTGTATAACTAGATATATATATATATATAAAACGACAAGCTGTAGCAGCAGTCACGTTTCTCAAAAAGAGCATGGGAGACATTCAAACTAGCCCCTAGAACCAGAACACACAGAATATTATGAGTAATAGTATACATACAAGTAAAATACTAGGAGTAATATCGATTTAAGGAACCATTTACACCAGGCCAGCACTGCCAAGTCTGAAAGCCACAAGCGATAGAACCTGCCCACCGTGCCATCTGAGCGTTGAGAAGCTGATTAGCTCTTAGAACCACGATTCGAATACGATCAGTACTCGGTCAGCTGCAGACAGGTGGTCACAGATGGCACACGCATAGATGGCGTATCTTGCGAACGAGTCAACCAGTTGCATATATGCCACAGGATATACAGATATACAATCGCAGGATAGAAGGCTTAATCATGAACAGCTCACCCTGATCCCCAAGTGTATGTATGTGTACAGGTGTGTTTGTGCGCAAGTACACGTGTCTGTCTTTGCGTTCAGCCTTCAAGATGTTATATGGATAGTGCAGAGGGAGCAACACTCAGGATGTTGTTTGGTGGAAAATAAATGCACACTGTAGTCAAGCAGATGGGCATTCTGGATAAGAACAGGTCTACTTGTTATAATACTACTGACTAATTATTCTGTTATCCCTCCTACGCATGTGCAAGCAAATGCTTGTCTAAGTAACGAAAGATTAACTAGAAAGTAATTGATTGGGGAATGATCATGCGATAATACAAAGTTTGACATAAATATCATGATGCTAGCATTGCTACGTAATGATTTTTATTCACCAAGCACGATGTACCCAAGAGCACTTTTGTCAACCAGCACTGCATGACCTATACTATTACTAACTGTATTGATCTACCTACTAAATTAGTAAGTAGGCAGTGACACAGGGTATAGCTATCAACTGAAAAGAAACTGTATGTAACATTTCAGTCAACATTTCTCCAGTTGTTTGTCAGTACGATTGTACTCGTACATGTATGGCAGTGCTGTATATGTTTTTGCTGTTTAGTATATTGGTATAAAAAGCCAAATCATAGCATGTTTCTAACTTTCTCCTTGCTTTTATAATCTCTTAAATTTGCTTTCATAGGTTTCTTAACTTACATAAAATTATCGAGGTTTTTATACACTATACAGTATATATATAAACCACATACAAAACCATATACACAGTCTGTCAACTTTGCATGTTTTTTCTAGTTAGTTCTAAGCTAGTTGAAGGTTTTCACTTTACATGGAAAATTTAAAACTTCAGGGAAAGGTATATTTTGGCTGTCACTTTTTCAGTGGAAATGTAGCAGGTTTTATTAATTTCGAACCCCCTGATATGGCAAGTTGTTTCAATTACAAAATTACATGTTCAAATCAAATAAAAATGTACTCACCACTCGAGTATTAATGACAGGAAAGATCAGAGCTAGAGTGGCACCATGCAACATGTACCATTGAACTCGGAACAACTTCACCACTAACTCACTAGGTGGAGCAGTAAGCACATATATCTACCAAAAAGACAAAACGATTCTTCATTAGAAACTAGTTATAGATAAGATTATCACATTACAACAGCCGGATATTGATAAAAATCTGAAGACCACTCTCACAGATTAGTATTAGAGATACCAGATGCACTATAACTAAGTAAGCTGGCACTCTTACACAAAACCTGATGTCACAACTATTCTATTATTTATACATAACTATATTACTTACCAACAGATCCATAATCAAGTGTTGTATGATGAGTCTGTTAATAATTATTAACTACATATACTACACCAATAGAAAAGTATGTTAGTAAGTAAGCCATGAAAACAATCAATAGCATGAATGCAGACTTTGATGGCAAGTTTTTAGGCAACAGATTTTTTAAATAGTCAAATTTGAAGGATTTGTCTAAATGGTTCATTTATACCTTGACTTACATCTAATACACCCTATATAAATGTATATATATATATATAACTTACCTGTAACATAGTGGCAATGTGACACGGGTTCAGTAGAAAGATAAGCTGCTTCGTTGCAAATTTGAAGCCAAGTTCAATTCCAAATGCCAGGCACATTACGACTAAGAGCATTTTCTTCAGCGTTATGTCATGCCTGTTCAGATGATTCCTGGCCTTATCTTTCGCCACTAGTGCTTTGATGTTGTCTTGCCTCTTCTGTAAGCATTTGTATGCATAACAGATCTCGTACACACCCAGCGAGGTACCGCAGAGTACCTCTATGACGCGTTGTTTTGGCCCGGAGAACTGCATGCAGTCCAAGCCACCATTTCCAGGAAAGGTAGGGTCAACTCCAGCGTATGCCAGCTTCAGCATGTTACTCACACTGTAGCGTGCCATGCAGCGAGTCAGCGACGACGTCATCGATTAACAATTCATGCAGCACAGCAATGGCTGGCCTCTGACTCTTAGAGAAGATGTCTTTGCTGAACCTTAGTAAATGCAAATAAAATAAAGTCAAATTAGGTTACTATTTACAGCAAGACAAATAGAGTAATTCCTAGGTATTTTTATGTAAATTATTACCCTCTCTAATGTTAATGCAACAGTTCACTTCAAAGGCAAAGAGCTGTAACAAACCATTCTGCACAACTTCGTTTGAGAAAGATGGGGGGGGGGATTACATATTTTCTTTGTAAATCATTTGGTTGCAGCTAAAAATCAACAAGGGAAAATTCTCTTGACACCAAACATAGCCAAACTCTACGTACAGGTGACAGTGGCAAGTCGTGTGTCACACGTCAACAGAAATGGTCAATAGCTTGTACAAAGTTCACAGCCAATATTGTGGTAATATGTAATGCTCATGATAGAGGAAACAGATTACTGGTTAAAGTAAAACACTGCAGTCTGTCGATGTGTCGTGTGTAGGGGTGTGTTAGCCTGTGGCGGAGCGGAGGGCTATAGTTCTAGAGATAGGGGTGTGTATAAAGGGTATAGGGATAGTAAGCTGCAGAATAAATTACGTATAACCACCACCTCCTAAGGGATTCATTCAGGGCACCTCCGAAACGGAACGAGGTCGCACCGCACCAGGATTCACTAGGAGTACTACCAGTTAGTCTAGACAATACCCATGGTTGTTATGTATTTCTTATTTCAGTATTTGTAAATTATAACTGCACCACCACCCACAATCTCAAACAAACCAATGCTTTACAAGATTTGTAATAACGATAGTACCTGCATTTCGCTGTCTTCGGTCGTTAAACAGCATTCACACAGATAAGGTTTTGCTTCTAATCTTTGCAATGCTATGACGCGATATCGGTTTGTATCTTGTATCTTAGGTCCCTCTCGTCTTTCGCAAGGCACTCTAATGCAGGTGCTGTGATTATCTAAAGAAACAGGAAATTATTTCTACCTCCAGTTCTTTAGATATTAATACTTCGAATTGACAATATCTTTCGTACATATTCAACTGCTGGTTTGAGTAACCCAGTGTAGTCCCCTCCCCAGTCTTCACTTTGTTCGCTGTCCATATATCTGTTATAAAACTCACATTTATATAAATATTCCAAGTTCTCTTTCATATTGTTATTACATAAATTGCACCGGTCATCACCAAAGTTATTTCTTAAATAGCTTTTGAGTTCTATCATGCATGTTTTACATTTAAAAGTAAAACATGCATCTGTAAATGACATTTCTTTCATATATTCCTTTAGCCCATAAGTTTCTATGTTTATCATCTTCATTTTCGTTTTTCATTTGGTTTTCATTTTATCTCTTGTTATTACGCTTTTTAAAATAGCTTGTTTTACTTGTTTTTTTTTCAGCCTTTCTTTGGTTTCATTCCTATGGCTGAGAGTGATATTCCTAAATTGTAGTTATCTAAAATTTCCAAGGTTTCGTTTGCCCAATTTTTTTCTTCCTCTTTAGTCTGTTGTATGTATAATCTATTATTTTAACTATGAATTGCAGAAGCATGCGTTTTTGGTAATTTACCTTGTCTAATATCTGTAGTATACCTAGCTTTATTCGAAGAGCTTCAGCGGTGTTTTACTGTGTGCTTTTAGAATTTTGCGTAAGCACTCATATTGGAAGTCTTCTAACATTTTTCCTTCTTCCTTGGTCAGGTTAGTCCAAGTTTCACTGTTAATTAAGAAGGCGGGTAGCACCGTGCACTCGTATAGTCTTACTCTCGCTGCGCAAATCCACTTTAGGCAACTTAGGTATTACGAAGTGATGCACAGATTTCTGTGTATCATCAACTGATGCACAGACTTTCCGTATATCAAGGAATGATGCAAAAACCCTAACCCTAACTCTAAGTCATAAAGTATACGCAGTGGCTACGCGTCCGGAACCGGTCGCTTAGCATCCAGGCTACGCGTCCGGAACCGGTCGCT